TTCCTTAATGCCGCATTTAGTTGGAACTATAGTTGGGAAAAGTCATTTAAATGACACGATGTTTTCGAAATGGCTTAAGAATCATTTATATAAATAATAGGAAGTTTTGGATTCATGGGATCACACATCTCCTCAGAAAGGTCCATGTAATTTAATATTTTTAGAGACAAGTTTCTTTCCAACCCGAATCGAATTTGTGACTTCCATGGTTCTTATGTTTTTGGTAACCAAGGAACTTAAGCATTAGACCAACTCGTCTTTGATAAACGTTTTGATTTTATTTCTGATAATGACACTGTTTTTTCGTTGTAAGTTACTTCCAAACTATATTCTTTTGTTAATTTTTACCAGAAAAGTGAAGAGATATTTTTCGACAATATGTATAGCAACATATATATACAATATGTTTTCTTTGCAAACAATAGTAGCAGTTGGATTATCCCTCTACATTTGGATATCAGTTCGGTTCGGATTAGTTTTAATTATCTGGGTTTTAGATATAAGGGTCTAGGTCCCATTGAGTATTATAGAAATTTGGTTCCGGTTCAGTTCGCAGTACCCTCTTAGTTCGAAAATTTAAATGGAGAACCGGTCAAGAATAAAAAACTATTGGATACAGTTTGGGTTTGTTACATTTTGCCTAAATATATCCGAAACTATCCGAAAACCCGAAAAAAACTAAAATATAGGTTAAGTTTTAATGAAATTTGGTTAAATCTATCCGAAAATAACTAATATCCAAAATAACTCATATATTTGGGTTTATAATTATAATTTTTGGTATTTGGGCTACAATAAATAAAAATATATTTTTAGGTATATATTTGTATTTTGGGTATATATCTATTTGGTTTTTGGTTCGGTTTGGTTTTCATTCCGATTTTACGGAAATATGGTTCTAGATTCCATTCCAATATTTATGTCTGTTCCAATTCGGTTTCGTATCTTCTTATTCAAATCGATTCTGGTTTAATTAGGTTCAATAATTTGTCCAGGTCAAGATGTTTGATAATAAAAATTTGAAAGTAAAATTCAGTTGTACCACATCAAAAAGACAAAAATATACATTAAAAAAAAAAGAAATTGAGTTTAGAATATAATGTTTTAAAATTTAAGTGCATGGGCCAAGTTACCATTCTTAAGGCTTATGGGCTCAAATCGGTGCGCCTTCAAAATAATGCTGAATTCATGATTCGCAAGTAACATTCAAGTTATTTTATTTTTATTTTGTCAGAATTACTTATCATATTATATAAAATTTGTTTTAAAAATAAAAATAATCATTAACATGATAATTTATATATACTTTACTAGATTTCAGTTTGAAAATAAATAAGCTTCTAAGTAATATAAGTTGTTGTTTCTTGAAAATCAATCATATCCTAGATTTTGAGAAGCGTTTTGTAGCGGAATTGACAAATAGTTTAACGGAAATATGTCTAATATATGTCTCAATAGCTATGACTTTATGTTAGATACTAGGTTTAGGCATTTGGATATCGGTTCGAGTTCGGTTTGCTTTTTTCAGATTTAAGACTTTTTTGGATATAAGAGTTTAGGTTCCATTCGAATATTTTAGAAATTCGGTTCAAATTCGATTCGGATATTTGAATGGAGAACCAGTTGAAAACCAAAAAATTATCATGTACAATTTGGGTTGGTTAATTTATTCAATTCTACACATAATACCTGAAAATATCCAATTATACAGGATGATAGATAAATAAAAGTAGAATGAAAGAATGAAAAACTATCGCATAGGATTCGGGTTGATTAGTTTTTGAATAAATCTACCAAAATACCCAAATTACTCGGAGATACTCGATTTTAAGCCGACGAATTTAGTTGAAAGAGGATAATGGGTTTAGTTGGGTTTCAGGTATATTCAGGTACTTGTTTGGAAGCGCAAAACCTATCTAAAGCGTTCCATTTAGTTTGGTTCCGATTCGGTTTTTCGGTACTGGTTTTTTCGTCCAAATCCATTATACACATAAAGACAATGCGCCGGTGAGGTTCCAACAACAAAAGATGGTGGCTGGACAAGATCATGCGTCAAAAGACAAAATCTGTCGAGCATTGTGTTTGCGGATGGATGAGCTTCTTAAAGAGAGATAGGATCACCGTGGATGTCGAATCAATTTCTAAAGAATCCATGATGTCGATGGATGTCATCGCTTTGACCACTAATACCATAACCCTTTTTCATTTGTACATCGTATCATGCATAGGTGTGATACACTCGAAAAGAATAATAAGTGTAATGAACTTTGACAAAAAAGGAAGAAGAAGAAGAAGCAATTATAATTAAATTATTAAGATTCAATTAATTGGCACATGCTGACATGCATGTGTATATTCTAGGTATTCCTATCGACCCTTGAGCCTTCCATGGGACAACCAATTTGATACCACATTGTAGATTCACTTCTTTATATCGTTGTTAATGACAAGAAATGACGCGCATATATATATATATATATATATATATATATATATAAGATAAAACTCAATATGTATGATCGACGCATTATTAAGAATCTAGGTAGGATATATATATAGTTAGATAACTATTTCCTTATTTAAATTCAAGTTCTTTATATCATTAATCGACAAACTCTACAAAAAGTTAAAGCTAAAACCTATTGGATTAAAAACAGAAAAAAAGAAAAGAGAAAAAAAAGAAGAAGACTATATTTAAAAAAGGTGTCAAATATTTAAAAGTTTTTTTATTCTAGGTCTACGGTTAGATTATCAGATAGTTCACTTTTTGAAGATTAATAGTGTAAGATTAGTAGGACGTTCCAGAATATTATAAGCATAACTGTCCGTTGTGGTTTCTGAGTGTAAGAGTAAAACCTGTCAATCATTAGCATGTAAGAATTGTTAGTATTGTAAGAATAGTTGCATGTTATGAAAGTGGAATTGTTTGTGGATTCATTTATAATAATCGCACGTATTGTCTGTAGTTAGATCTAATAGTTGGTCATCATGTATTTCTTTGGAATACTTTGTTTGTTGTGCATATTAATATATGTAGTAGATTTGCATCTTTTTATAGAGTATACACACTGACATATATATATCAAGGACATTGAAAGATAAAGTCAATTAATTTGTTGCTCAATTTCGTGAGTGTAAATTATTTTAGAATGATAGAATTTCTAATTTTCTTTCTAAACATTAATAATCCTCGTCTCCTCAATTTATCACACCCTAGGGTATTTTACAACCTAAAATACCCTATAAAATACCCTACAAAATTATCCAGGTCTGAAAATCCACGGCGCAGACAGTACGGGTATGAAAACGACATCGTTTTGATACACGTCAGCGTACACGTGTACGATGACTCAGCACCGTAACGGAGTTGACTAACACCCGTTAGATTGACTCCGATTTTTGCACGTTGTATCAAGTATAGGTATGAGATTCAAATTTTATTGAAGTTTAGGTTGTAAAATACCCTACGAAATTGTCCAGATATAAAAATCAACGGTGCAGATAGTACGGGTATGAAAATCTTCTTTTCCCATAAAGATACTCACCACAGACACTACGTACATGTTATGCCATCAGTACAATGCTAGAAAAACTCAAGTTATATGGGATACAATTGTATACTGGTAATTACTTTTTTAGCAAAAACAAATACTAGTAATTAATGTTTTAGTAAAATTCAACATTTGATTTTATACAGTGTATAATCAAATCAATCTATTTTTTATTTGTTTTGCTTCATGTCACTATTTAATTTTCAGAAACCCAAATATTTTATATTGGTGCCGAAGACCATTATCAGAAAAATATATTATGGATACGACGAAAGTAGACTATGATAAAGTAATTTGGGAAATAAATACAACTTTTATAACAACATAGTATATAATTCATGACACGTTATAAAGTGATGGAATATAGAACTGGAAATAAAGAGCATCAAAGCTAACCATGAAAAGTGGATTTCTTTTATAGTGAAGCCATCACGCTTTAGTACGAAACAATTCGCCACGGTTCATGTACTTAGGTTTTCGAAGGTCACCGTCCCATTTACATGCTTTCCCTTACGTCATTTTTCTTTTTCTTTATCAATGCATGTTATTTTCTTCATGTGAAACTTATATAATTAAAAAAGGCTATTCTTAAAAGGTTAACTAATTTAGGGTTGGTAATGGTATTACTTTAGAAAAGAAAACATTCGATGATGCAACCTTTTTCTTGTTGTGTATAGTGAATTAGTTCAATCTTTATTTTTTTGAAAAAAGTGGAATTCATTGATTAATTAGAAGTTGTAGAAAATAAAAAGAGATTGGGACTTTTACTTGTTTTCATATTTTTTCGTTTGAAATGTTTTGTAAAAGAACTAATTTAAAACTCTTGAAACTAAACCAAGAATTGCTGAGGTGATGAGATGTAATTATGAATTACTTTTCTGTTGTTCGAAAAACCATGACATGACGAGGTTGTTTCTTTCCCTAAGCTACGTTTGTAAAGCTAACGAAGTGAGTATGAAACTAGATATGTTAAGTGAAATAATGTGCATAAGATTGCCGATGAATACCCGGCCCATGCATATTACAAAATGTGTTGTCCAGTGATTCAGGGTGAAGTCGTTAGCAGATGTAATTATGTGCTACGAGAGAAACTTTGCATTTCTTGTTACAATTTAGGATTGATCAATTCGATGTAAAACTTTGCGACAAAATTAATATGCATTTTCGAAAAAAACATATTCATGAAAAAAACGATTGCAAGAAAATGATGGCTTTATTCATCTACCAAAATATCATATTTATGATACAGTTTTTTAAAAAGGCAAAAAATGATTTTTGAAACCCGTCCATAACAAATCATAGAAGAAATGATATCCATGAAATTATTTATTTAATGAAATCTCAGATTGTTGTATAGTGGAGATTTTTTCCACAAATCCACTGCTTGACATCCTGATTTGGCCGGATGCTAAGGACATACTAAAACACTTCAACCGAGAAGTAAAACCATACTGGTTTAAAATTTTGAAAACATTTGTGTACTTTCGTTCTTTTATATATAAAATCTGTGATTAAGGACATTGAGAACTTCTCGGAGTGCCTGCTCATTTTCACGGGCCGCCAGTGAAAAGGTTCCAAACTGTGGAGTAATCGAATGGCTTCCTAGCGTTGTTCATTTTCTGAGAATTTTAAAATAGTTATCACTTCATCTGACACTGTGAGTTTCTTTGCTTAAGGTTATATATGTTGATGGACTGAATTTCTGAGAGTTTTGTTTCAATATATTGCATGAGACCAATTTTATAGGTGATACAATATGTAAAACCAAAACATATTGTGTTTTTGGATATAGTTTGCATTAGAGCATCAACTAAAAATATCAGAAGGGCGACTGTGGTAATTAAATGTAGTGATGTATGTTCTCAAAGTAGGATAACCTGATGATATTTCACGCAATGTCAATGTCATAAAGGTAAAAATAGGAAAATACATTATTTCGTATATTTTTTTTTCGTGGTTAAACTATTGTTTTAGCAATATGATGATAAAGGTAAGAGCTGACAAATAATTTAAAAAAAAAAACAAACAAACAAACTTTAGCAATATGCATGCGTCTACCGGAGGTGGTCGTTCGCATGAGGAAGAAAACAAATATTGGTTCAAGTCATTAAATTTAATTACAAGTACACTTCAGGAGACCCTCAATCTTACAGCTTATACTTTCAAACTTCAAAAGTCGACAATATTTGACAGGAAATAATAATAATATTATACATGGCAAAGCTGCGCAACACAAACTCTGGTCAAATTTTAGGGTTTTGAAGACAAAGGATAAGAGTGATGTTGAGGGTCAGGCCCTCCTGGTGAAAACCTATCTACTTCGTTTTGGACGGAAAGCTCTCGGCCAATACGCTTTAGTTCAGAAACATTGTAACCTAACCGTTGCAAAAGATCGTTGCTCTCACCATCTTCACTCTTTGAATTAACCCCAAGTATCCTTCCTTCCATTGCAATTACCAATAGAAATGTGAGCATAACAAATAACAATAACGCTTTAGAAGCCATATTGAAAGTGATGTTGAAACAAATGAAATTAAGAAAAGATTAGTGGTTGGGGTGGTGTAGTGACCAAGCTCGACTGTGGAAGAGATGATTGAGAAGAAGCTTAAGTGAATCTATTTATAGATAAAAGAATGGAAAGGATAAAAAAGATATAATAATATGCATATATAGTGGCCACTAATTAGTTAAGATACCAACGAAATATGCATAAGATAGCTCAGTGGAGTTGCATATATTATGTATATGATATATATATATATATTTTTTTTCCTTCTAACAACTTTTATTTAACCATATCAAATATCATTGTTTACAACTTCAACAAAGAACAAAGAACATTGGACATGAATGGTACATACACCATTCGGATGACATACCTTAATTTATTAGTCACTCTGTTTATATCTTATTCTGCTAATTTTTTTTCTATATATAGAATCACTTAACTTTCCTTTTTAGTCGTATCATCTGGTAACGAGTTCACACTCTTAAATACTACTCATCTTTGTATACAAAAAATTTCTTCTTTGTCAACCCCTATTAAGAATTATCTCTATACTATTAAAAGAGAAGTACAAATGTAAATGGGTCGGGTCAAAATCAGAAAATTGACCCGAAATTCTGAAATCGAATCTTTGAAATTTTTTTGGAATATAAATTCGAATTAATAATGAAAAATTGAACTAAAATCAAATGTTTATGGAAATCAAATAAAATTTGATTTTACTTATGGTAACAAATTATAAAATCATATTCCGAACAATATTATACATTAATTACGTATAATATATTTGTTTATATACTTTTGGAACTAATTCCATAACAATTAACGTTTTTCTCATTAATTTTGCTTATTTTAGCCAGTTATCATTAATTAAAAGATATCTTACTTGCTTCTAGAGATTTCTAAAAAATTTATCACAACTAACCCATCTATTTTATAAATTAAATAAATAGATATTTTTATTTTGGTCGTGTAAATTAAATAGATATGAAATCTATGTAACTAATTTTAATTTAATTAGATTAAATCGAAATTATGGTATTTTCATACAATCATACTTATAGTTTACCAAAGAAGTTTAATTTTCAAATTATAAAGATTTCTTGAATATGATTTTTAGAATTATTCAACAAGATGATAAATATTTATTAAATTTTGTGAATCATGAAAAATATTAATTGTTTTTAATCATTATATTTCACCCTTCAATCTCTCACCTAACAAATAAGATACATATTCTATAATTCCTATGTCCAAACTCCATTGAGTTGTATGACTAAATAATATTTCTATTAGAGCTGTCAAAACGAGTTGATTCGTCCCGTTAAGCCTGTTTTGCAATAGGCAAAATATAGTTTGGCATGTGGTTAGTCTGTCTGCACGACCCGCGGGTAGCATATATGAAATACAACTCCGTCGCGCGAATGTATGCTGATTTGTGGAGTTATCCGTGGATTTTGTTTAAATAATGAGTAACCAAAATTTAAAATTCTACTAAAATAAATAAATGAAAATGTTTTTAGAGAATATAATCTTATATATCATTATATTTATAAATATTATAATTTCATTTATTAAAAGTTTTTTAAACTACCACATGTTGAATAAATTATATTTTTATCAATAAATACTATCATGCGGGTTGATCCGCCAACCCCCGGACGAAAACCGATGATCCACTGCGAATCAATCCATGTGGCCCGCTTATTTGCGGGTTTAATATATTTTCCCAAATCTGGCCTATAGTGAGATGATTTAGACTCGACCCACGGTTTTTGACCTATTTTGACTGCTTTAATTCCCATGATTCGTCTAATTTTTGAATTCTAAAACACAAAATTCCATTTTTTAAATCATAATTAATACGATTGGTTTAATTATAAACAATTTAATATTTTCTTTACAATTTGTTATTAGGAATATTTATAAGTACATTACACGATTCGTTTTACTAAAAACACGCACAATATTAAAATCAATGTATGTAAATCAATATTCTCCCGCGGTGGACCGCGGGTCCGATCCTAGTAAAGTTTAAAATTAATACTCGTGTTGAAAAAAAGAAAGGCAAGCCAGTTAAAAAAATGGAACAGGTGTTTATTAATTTATAGTTAATGATGACTTCCCCAAAGTATGTGAAGTAGGAAGTTCTTATAAAAGTGGAGAGAACATCTTTTTTTTTCTTTCTTAACCACACAATGCCATGTTGGCTAAACAATATTGGCGTTTAATCCAATATCCGAACTCTTTAGTAGCTCGGGTGCTACAAAGCAGATATTTCAGGAATATTCATCCTTTACAGGCAAAAAAACCAAACTCTCCATCATTTGGATGGAAGAGTATTTTTTCTACTAAAAGATTAGTTGAAGTGGGAGCTAGATGGTCACTAGGATCGGGTTTCAATCTATCGGTATGGCGAGATCCTTGGATTCCTGATGTTAACCCACGGTCCGCAAATGGAAGAGGAAAAACATTACTTCCAAGTTTGATGGTTAACCATTTAATTAATCCGGTTACTAAAGAATGGCATCTTCCTATTTTACAAGAATTTTTGGATCCAGTGGATATTCAGTTTATTAGGGGATTGGCTATTAGCAAAGTTAATAAGCCAGATAGGCTTATCTGGCATCATACAAGATCATGAAGATATACAGTAAAATCAGGCTATCGGGTTGCTAGAGAGATGACAGAAACGATCGAATGGGGCCCGAATTATAAGAATTTACAAGCACAAGCTTGGAAAGTCAAAGCCCCTCCAAAACTAAAACATTTCTTATGGCAAATTGCTACGGGATCTCTAGCAGTTACTTCAAAATTAGCACATCGAGGGATCCAATGTGACTTTCTCTGTAAAAGGTGTGAGATGGCAGAGGAAACAATAAATCATGCTTTATTTGAGTGCACTCATTCTCAGAAAATATGGGAATTATCAGATATACCTACGGCAATATGTAGTTTTCCTCTAACCTCGGAATTCTCAAATCTAGATTATCTTTATTGGAGGTTACCATCTAATCTAGATGGGGGAGAGAAAACTTTCAGTTATGCTTGGATTTTGTGGTTCATCTGGAAAGATAGGAATAAAAAGGTTTTCAAAGGATTACAATCTGAACCCAGAGATATTTTAAATCATGCTTTGAGTAAAAAATTAATGTGGGAAGAAGCTCAGTTGGATCCGATCGAAACTAGTTCTACTACGGAAACTTTGGAACGACCGGTTCAATCTATAAGATGTCGGATTGATGGTTCTTGGAAAAATTCAGATCCAACAATGGGTATAGGATAGTGGTGTTTTCAAGGAATTGATCAAACGATACTGCTCGGTGCAAAGTGCCTTCGGAGGTGTCCCTCCCCTCTTCACTCGGAGATGGAAGCTTTAATTTGGGCTATGAAGAATATCCTTTCAAGAGGGATCGATTGTCAGGTGTTTGAATCAGACTGCTCGGAGTTAGTCTCGATGATACACTCACCGGATGAATGGCCTGCTTTCTCCAATCTTCTAGACGAGTTTGGTTTTCTCCGTCTCTCTTTCCCTTTCTTCTCGCTTTCTCTTATTTCTCGTTTATGTAATGTTCAAGCGGACTGCTTAGCCCGTTCTTCTAGACTTTTATTTTCTGAAATTACTTTTGTAAACTCTACTCCTCCTAATTGGGCAACCAATCAAGGAATTATTTATTA